CACCCTCCTCCCTCTGCAGCCACCTTCCAGCCAAGCCAGTCCCTTCCCACCTCCCCCGTCACCTCACTCCTCTGCCTCTGAGACTTTGCAGAGCTGTCCCTCCATCTGGAACAGCAGTTGCCATCCTGCCCCCCAGCCCCCATGACTTGTCCCTCATAATGCAGCTCAGGCATCAGCTCCTCGGGAAGCCTCTTGGGGAGCCCTACAGGCTGTGCTTGGTTCTCCTCTTTCCCCCCAAAGTAGCTGTGTTGTCTGATGTCTCCACACAACTGTAAGCTCCAGACAGGCAGACCTGCATCTCTGGTCTCTGTATCTCTGCCACCTAGCAAAAACTCTGCCACAAAGCAGGCATTGTTAAGAATCTGCTGAGTGAATAGATGTTTTCTTTTCCTTTCTTTTCTTCTTTTTTGAGACGGTCTTGCTCTGTCTCCCAGGCTGGAGCAGATTCTACTGACCCCATGTAATCCAGGGGAGCTTACTGAAGAATGCACGATCACAGCTCACTGCAGCCTCGAACTCCCGGGCTCAAGCAATCCTCCCACCTCAGCCTCCTGATTCACTGGGATTATAAGCATGCATCACCACACTCAGCTATTTTTTTTATTTTATTAATTATTTTAAAAATTTATAGAAATGGGGCTCACTGTGTTACCCAGGCTGGTCTCGAATTTCTGGGCTAAAGCCACCCTCCTGCCTCCACCTCCCAAACTGCTGGGATTGCAGCTGTGAGCCACTGCACCTATCCCTAAATAAATGTTTTCAGAAGCGACGAGTAGTCTGTCTGATTTTTAAATGATTATGCTAGTGCTGATGAGCCTGGAAGACACTAACAGGGCGATCCCACAGTGTGGGCTGTCAGCAGGCATGTTCTGGAGGCTCAGTCACATCATATCCAGCTCTAAAGACAGAGCTGCAGATGTCATGATGGCTGACCAGAAGCCTTTGCTTCGGGGGACTGGCGGGGCAGTGATTTGGGCACCATGAACATAGTGAGACATGGACGGGTGCAAAAACAGGGCAGTAACAGAGAAACCCAGGAATGCGATCCCCACCTCCCAGGAAGGGAGCCATTTCCCCAGAGGACAGAGGCTTGCCACATCTCGCCTGGCTAATCTGACGGAAGCCAGCTGCAGCGCTAGGCCTGCCCCTGGGAAGGCATGCTGAGGCTGGGAACCACATGCCGCTGTCTGCCCCTGGGGGACAGGGGCACAGGGAGAGGGTAATTGACTTGTCTCCCAAGTTTATTTATTAATTCCTAGCTGCACCATTTGATGTGGTTTCCAGGAGGCACGCCGTTGAAATCTGCCCGCCTCCCCACTCCTAGCTGCAGTGGCCCCGAGGGAGGTGGGTGAAGCTCAGAGCCAGCCCGCAAGTCAGACCAGGTATAGGCAGGGGACTAGAAAGGGTACCCACCAAGCTGAGAGGCTCACCGGCCCCAGCGCAGGCAGCACGTCACAGTACACGGTGGGGTGCCAGGCCTCAGTGGACAGTGTACTGGGGAGCCTGAGGCCAAGTGCCTTGGGACAAGGGACAAGTGGCCACAGCTCTCTGCTTCAGCTTCCCCAGCTGTGAGAGTAAGAAATCCGTGGCGGCTGCCCCTTGGTAGAGCTGAGTGAGAACACCATGTGATGAGGACAGGAAGCACTGTCACAAGTCAAGAGCACCCTGCAACTGTCGAATGTTCCAGACAGGCAAGTGTCTATCTCTAAGCGCCGGGTTTAGGCCTAACTTTGTTCCCGATTCTATGCTTTCCAAATTTCCCATGTTTCCTACAATTAGCGTGAGTAAGCTGTATAACCAGGGAAATATTAGACAAGGGAGAATGGGAAGTGTGTGGCCCAGAGATGGAGCTACATCTCAGCAAGCAGGGTGGTTACAGGGTGGAGGGAGAAAGGGGGTGATCCCTCCACCCCAGGTCCCAGCCAGGAAGGACACCTCAGGGAGAGGGTGGAGCCTGAAGGGTAAAGAGGTGGGGTGATGATTTGAATGACGGGAGCCACAGTCCTCAACCAGAGGAAATGGGAGCCAGGCCCCAAGATTCTCTATCCAAGGCGGTGGCTCTCCTGGCTTTCAGCCTTTGAAGGGTCAGCACAAGTGACCTTCATTTAGCTGGTGTGCTCCCCACGGTGTGGCTCTAATCCCTTGGACTCGGTCCAGAGAGAGACTCTACCCCCTTCCAAGGATGGATGACTGAGAAGGGAGTGGCAGCCCAGAAAGAGGGTGGTGAGTGCAGGGGGCAGGGGTCCTCCATGCTCCCTCATACCCACCGTCCCTGAGCCCCACAACTGTGTCTGTGTGTGCAGACCCTGGTCCCAAGAAAGTGGCCATGGCTTCTTCCAAAAGGCACATGCCCATCCAGGACCCAGGCCAGCATCCGTGTCCCCTTACCCCTCACCCTGTGGCTCCCCTGCTCACTCCCATCGACACTCTAGAGAAGAAGCTACTAACAAAGAAAACGTTCAAAGATTTCACAGAATTAGCAGCAAACCAAAGTCCTGGGAGCCCTGAAACTGACATGGTAGAGATGCAGGGCACCTGCCCTTTGAGATTCTGGGAGAATTGGCCTCACCCAGATCACTTACGCAATTTTCTTTCATGTGTCTGCCTCTGAGCACCATTTCCTACTGCACTGGTTCGGTGGGCAGACAGCGTGCCTGCCCCACATTCACGGCCTACAATTCACTCCTTTCCTTCACTTCCCTGTCACGAGACCTCTCACACAGGGCCGGCGTGTGCCAGGCCGGAGGGCTTTGCCACAGGCCTACCCCGTGTCACCCACTGAGGAAGCCCAGGCAGCCCCTCCTGGGCCGCCAATCTGAGGGGCCCCGAGGTGTGTCCGTGTTCACATTTCTTCACTCAACAACCACAGGCCCCACTCTGTGCCACGCTCTGGGCTCACCCAGGCCAGGCTGTGTGCACACACACTGCACTCACACACCCAGGCTGAACAGGGCCCCCACTCTTTTGCACAAACCGGACAGAACTCACACTTGTGTTCACACCCAGCTAGGCCATGCTGGCATTCACTCGCTCGCCTGGACTGGCTAAGTTCCTACTCAGTGGGTTTCTGCCTCTGCCCACCAGGATGATCCCCACACCAGGACAGATGTCACTTTTTGTGCCAGGGAATAAGATACCCTGAGGCCCGCCGGAGAGGCAGGGGTCACTCTGGGCAGGGTGTGAATGGGGGCTGGGACCCAGGCTGGCGTAGGGCTTGGCCTCTGTCCCCAGGGTCCATCTAGGCCAGTTGGCCTGTGGGCAGGGAGCTGTCCTAGGCTGACACAGTGTCTTAGGTCAGGGGACTCCAAATACAGAAAGGGGGCCTCAAGAACGTCCCAAATGTGAAAGGGATTCAGTCCTGGCTGCTTGACCCCCAGGCCTCAGCCATCTCCCGACTGGAAGCCTCTCTCCCCAGCACCGCCGCCTCCAGTCTCTTCCACACCCATGGCCTCCCTCCCACCTGCCATGATCTCCCCATCATGTGGCCAGCCTCTCATCCTAAAACGCCTGCCTCATCAGGCAACTCCCCTTCGAGAATCTTCAAGAGACCTCTTGCCTAAGGATGAGCTCTGGCTGGCACGAACGCCCTCAGGATGAACCGGAGCTGACTCTCCTGCGGTAGCCGCCTTTTTTTTCCTTCCCAAGCTCTCCCTGGACCCGCGTCCACAACGTCATTCCATAGAAGCTTTGCTCTTTTCCAGCTCTGCCTCTTTAGCGAAACTTTCCTGAGCTCTTCTCTTCCTTCTCCCTACCGTCCTCTTTTCCTCCAGCTCCTCCTGCCCTGCAAGGCCCAGCTAAACCTCCACCACTTCTAAGAGGCCTTCCCTGATGACACAGCCCCGGAAACGCTCCTCACTGCCTCCACGCTGTACTCTGCGCTTTTCCTCCTGTGACACCCCATCTCCTGCTGGGGATTCTGCTCTCTGTGGCTCCAGTCGGCTCCCTGGGCTATCTCCTCTTCCCGGAGGAAGGTGCCGTGGGCCTCCCTCGCCCCTAGCCTGCTCCAGCCACACAGTTCGTGTGACTGTCTCTCCCTGGAGGCTGCGTGTCCCCAGCTGGCCCAGCTCCCACCCCCACGCCGCGGGGTGCAGAGGCAGCTGCAGCGGGGGTGCTGAGCTCCCAGTCAGGCCGGGGCCTGCTCCACGGGGCGGATCGCGCACATTCCTTCGGAATTAAACAAGGGCCCACTGGCTCCAGGCTCCGCAGGGTGAGGACCATCCGCTTTGCTTTTCTCCCTCCCCAGGCAGCAAGGCCCACTTGGTTCCAAAGGAAAGTTCTCTGCGCAATGACCTCAGCAGCCGCAGGGAAAGGTGAAGGGTCACATCTGTGGCCATTTGGAAACCCGGGTCAAGGCCTGAGACTCTGCCCTGCGCCCCTTCGTGCCTGGTGTTCATTCCGTCATCCACCTCCCGTGCCCACACCCCCATGTACAGGCGCAACACACACACACAGACACATGAACACATGGAAACACACATGCACAAATGTAAGTGTGTACCCAGACATAAATGTGTGTGTACACACAAGATACACACGTAAACACACAAAGACAAGCACACAAGTATAACTACAGATACACATGCAAAGCATGTGTATACACACATATATACATACATATATACACAAGCACACGCTTGCAAACACACACATGCACACGCACTCCCCGATGCTGCCACTGACTGACCCGAGGTGGGCTGGGTGGCCCAGCCACAGACAGTGACAGGGCTGAGTCTCTGGCAAAAAGCCCACCCTTCCTCTCCCCAGAGCGGTTCGGGAAGGGAGCAGAGCTGTGATTTGAGGCATGGCAGATCATTTTTCACAGTTCACCTTCAAATAACCTCAGCCCAAGAGACAGAGTACTTTTTACCAAAGACCAAAAAAAAAAAAAGATTTCCCGTCACACAGCCCCCAGCCCATGGCTGCGTGTAGTGAGAGAAACAGCGGACTGGAGTGGGAGGAGGGAGGAGGGAGGAGGGAGGAGGGAGGATGGAGGAGGGAGGAGGGAGGGTGCAAGGCCAGGCCGAGCTGCCACACACCCTGGGCTTCTGGAACAGGCCACAGCTGCCACGTCTGCTGGGTGGATGGCAATGTGGGCGGGCTTCAAAGTGTCTCCTCAAAAAATGTGCTCAACGCTCAGCTCCAATGGCACCCCCTACACCTCTGCTTGCTCTGCGGATCCCTCTCCCTCTGCCTCCACTTCTCCTAACCTCCCTCGCACTAGCTGGCCCATGAGTTTGCAGATCTCAGGGACCAGGTGGTCCCGTGCACAAGGCAATGAGATAGGCAGTGAGACAGCGCTTCCCAGCAGACATAGATGAGCCCTCGTAGGGGAGTCTCACGCAGTCACGCCATCTCTAAAGGTCCACAGAGCTCCCAGTTCCTGGATGGTGGGAACAGAGATGGTTTAAGATCACGCCCATATTTCCTCCAGAGACCGGGCAGGCTTTGAGAGTAGATTCTAGCAATGTCTGAGGAAACAAGAGAAGCCACAGTCCCGTGTTCCAGCCCAGTCTACGAGGTTGTTGCAGTCACCTTCCTGAGACTTGGTCCATGAAACTAAGTCACATGATCCTGCTCAGATTCAGTGAGCGTGGCAAAATGCATCACATGGCCTACTCCAGGCCAGCCCAAGTCCTGGACAGTCACGGGGCCTGGCCACTGCCAGTCCAATAATTTGGCGCAGAAAAAGATGCTGCCCTTCTAAGGTATTTTATTTCCATTGGTCAGGAAGTTATTGTAATATACTGACCATGTTAGAATAAGTACTTTACTGCCATCTGCAGAAAATATGACATAAGAAACACAGAAATTGCTTACCTTTGGAGTCAATGAAATTATATAAAAATATGAAGATTTCCAAATAATAAAGCATCCATGATCGTCCCCCTAAGAGCCATATGGTTGAAGTCCAAATCCCCAGCACATCAGAATGAAGCTGTATTTGGAAAGAGGGCCATTAAAAAGGTGTTAAGTTACAATGGGGTTGTTAGGGGCTGGGTGAGGTGACTCACACCTGTAATTCCAGCACCCTGGGAGGCCAAAGTAAGAGGATCACTTGAGCCCAGGAGTTCAAGACCTGCCTGGGCAATATAGCAAGACCCTTGTCTCTACAAAAATAAGTAAATAAATAACCAGGTGTGGTGACACACACCTGTGGTCCCAGCTACTCGGAGGCTGGGTGAATGGATCACTTGAGCCCAGGAGTTCAAGGTTGCAGTGAGCCACACTTGTACCATTGTACTCCAGCCTGGGCAACAGAATGAGGCCAACTCAAAAAAAAAAAAAAAAATGGGCTTGTTAGGGTGGACACTAATCCAGTCTGCTTGGTGTCTTTGTAAGGAAAACAGCTCGGGACACACGGAGAGACAACAGGGGCATGCCTGCATGGAGGGACAAGCTGTGAAGAGGCAGTGAGAGGGTGGCCGTCCGCAAGCCGAGGAGAGATGCCTCTGAGGAAACGACCCTGTTGGCACCTTGATCTTGGACATCCAGCCTCCAGGACTGTGAGAAAATGAACGTGTGTTGCGTAAGCCTTTCAGTCTTCGGTGTCTGCTCTGGCAGACTGAGCTGGCTAACACACCGCTTCCCCAACCAGCTACTGTACTGGTTCATGTCCCCCATCCCCTTTGCCTCCTTCAAAATAAAAATCTACATAGCCCTCACACCTGTAATCCCAGCACTGTGGGAAGCTGAGGCAGGTGGATCACTGAGATCAGGAGTTCGAGATCAGCCTGGCCAACATGGCAAAACCCCGCCTCTACTAAAAATACAAAAAAACTAGCCGGGTGTGGTGGCGTGAGCCTGTAGTCCCATCTACTCAGGAGACTAAGGCGGGAGAATCACTTAAACTCAGGAGGTGGAAGTTGCAGTGACGATCACACCACTGCACTCCAGCCTGGATGACAGAGTGAGGCGCCATAAAAACAAAACAAAACCAAAAAAAACCCTCTGTGCAATGGGGACTATTAAATGGCCTTGAAAACACAGACCAACAGTTCTTGCCCCGTACACACAGTGTCACCTCTTCAGTTCAGGCGAGCACTAGGGCAGGGTTCAGCGCCCCCAGGCCACAGTCCCCCAACACCCCTGACCCAGGTCCCTCCTGGGCAATGCTGCACCACCCACCCAACACCAAAGCCCCAGCAAGTCCCAGACCCTCACTCTTCCCTTCTCAAAGCTGCGACAACAGCCATCTTACATCCAGGTGGCAAAACTCACCCTGGAGGCCACTGGGTAAGCAAGGGGCTCAGAGCAGAGAGAAACGGGGGCCCCTCGCACCCGGATCAGTGCAGGGGCTGGGCTGGTGGCTGGAGCTGGGCAGAGTGTTCCTGCTTTGTCCTAGAAATGGGCTGGGCAGTGCCTCTTCCTTAGAGACCTGTGTCCATTCCCAGCTCACAAAGCCTTCCACCCAGGCCAGGTTCAAATTAGCCGGCCTGTCCTCAGTCAGCTGGTTGTAATTGCAGTCCCTTGTGCTAGGGTTTCACTTTCAACGTTGATTTATGGGAAACACAAGGTTGCCTGAAGTCCACTTGAATTCCTCCTCAGTGAAGCAATGGTCCTGGGAGAGCTGGAAGGGCCCTGGCATCCCAAAGGGGATGGGGGAGGCGGCTCAGGGCTCATCCACACAACTGGAGCTGTCCCCGCAGAAGGGAATGCGACCAGGGACCTGAGCCACACTCGGGTGGGCCACGTGGAGCTCTCCTTGGAGAAAGGATATGTGCATGTGGTGGAATTCTATGCAACGTTGAAAGTAAGTGAGCCAGACTCACACACGCCAACACACATGGATCTCGCCAACATGTTGAAAGAAAAAAAGCTAACTGCAGAAGAATACATACTAGAATGCCACTATTTACAGTTTCAAAGCATAGAAAACAGCCCTGTAAATACTTCAAGAAAACCTGCATATGTGGTTCAAAAAAATTAAAGAAATTCATAAGAGATATCAAATATAGGATAGCAGTTACTTGTTTGGGGTGCAGGGTGCACAGCGGAAGGTGTGCTGGGGGGTGCACCCGGGGTTCCGCCTGGATTTGTTAGTTTTGTTTCTGAAACTGGTTTGTGGTTCCACGGGTGTTCATTAGATCACTGTTTTGGTGTATCTGCTTTTGATTGATTTTTGTTTTTAATTATTTTGTTTTTGTCTTTTTTCAGTTGTTTTTGGATTTTTGTTTTGGTTGCATATTAATCAGGGGCAGAGCTGGAACTCTGAGCTCCTTCCATCCCACTGGCTTTGCCAGGAGCCCCAGTGACCCTGGGACGTATGTGACTGTCCCACCTGGGCCTGGTGATCACTGCCTGGCAGGCCTTGCAGAGCCAGACCGAGCCTTAGAACACCTTCTGGGGCACAGCTGGGGGAGTAGGCCCTGCACCCCCTGCCACCTGGAAGCTAGACCTTGGAGAGAAGCTGAAGCCACAGTCACAATGCCGAATCTCAGGCCAAAGTCTACACTCCCCCGCCACCCAACCTGGGACAATGAGGCAAAACTGGAGACTTCAAGATCACCCCCTGCCAAACCCAATGGCTTTCAAGTATCCCTGTTACCGGAAGCGGCACCCCAGCCCTCCATTTGTTCATACCAGAGCCCCTGAAGCCACCCTTGACACTCCCTTTCCCTCATCCACACGTTCAATCCCATCACCCGTCTGAGACAAGGCACCCAGACCGGGATGCCCACGGCCTCCCTTCCCTGCCTCTATCCCCAGAGGCCAGGCTCACAAGGGCCTCGACAGGCCATGCCCAGTGAAAACACTGGGGTCTGTTTCTCTCCCTGGAGAAAAAGCAGGACAGTGGAGGCTAGACATCTGATTCTCAGGAAATGAAAACATTTTTCAACGTTTCACCCTAGGATATGAGTCTTCACAGCACCTGATACAGGGAAGCCAGAAGTCAGAATGCACATCTCCAGACATCAAGAATAATAACAGCTTGGCCAGAAGTGGTAGCTCACACCTATAATCCCAACGCTTGGGAGGCCAAGCCGAGAGGATCACTTGAGCCCAGGAGTCGGAGACCAGCCTGCACAACATGGTGAAACTCTGTCGCTACAAAAAATAAAATAATTAGCCAGGTGTGGTGGTGTGCGCTTATAGTCCCAGCTACTCAGGAGGCTGAGGTGGGAGGATCGCTTGAGCCCAGGAGATTGAGCCTATAATCGCATCACTGTACTCCAAGCTGGGTGACAGAGCAGGAAGCTGTCTCAAAAAAAAAAAAAAAAAAAAGGAAAGCATGACAGCTGTACCGCCACTCCCAGCAGCAGAGGGACAAGCCAATCACAGCTAGGCAACAGACATGTTTTGCTTGGCCCACACCATGCTTGAAATTGGAATTGCTGCCAACATGTAGCATTAGGAGAATTCACATAAAAATCCCTATTTGGAAATAGACAAACTGGCTTCAGCAGCCAGCATTCTTCCACTGCACCTCCCTTCCAGCCATGAAGGCAGACCCTCCCTAGGGCCCCCTTCCCCGGGACTCAGCACCATTTGCCGTCTTTCCTCAGTCCTGCCTCCTTTATTACACTGTCACCCTGGTCCCTGCGGGCATTGAAGTTTGTAGGTCCTCATTTTATTTATTTATTTAGGGACAGAGTCTCACTCTGTCCCCCAGGCTGGAGTACAGTGGTGTGATCATAGCTCGCTGCAGCTTCCAACACCCGGGCTCCAATGATCCTCCTGCCTCAGCCTCCCAAATAGCTGAGACTATAGGCTCACACCACCATGCCCAGCTAAATTTTACTTTTGTAGAGACAGGGTCTTGCCCTGTTGCCTGGGCTGATCTTAAACTCCTAGGCTCAAGCTATCCTCCTGCCACAGTCTCCCAAGGTGCTGGGATTATAGGCATGAGCCACCGTGCCTGGCCCAAACCTCATTCTGGAACCTGAGGAACAGTTTTGCTAGTGGGAAATAGGTTCCATGCTCTGTGTGTTCAGCAGGACCCCCCTTTCCCAGTCTATGGTAGACTAGGTGGGAGGTGAGGCCCAAGAATCAGGAAAGAGGGCTTGAGCGTGGCCAAAAACCAAGGCTACAGCAGGAGGAGCAGACAGCTGTGTGCTGGGACTTTCTGTCAGGTGGGCAGGAGAGGCGGGTCAGCAGAATTACCCAAGAGAGAGCCACGCTGGTGAAGATGTGGAGTTGACAGCTGAGCCTGGTGAGGGCTGTGGATGGGATTCAACCCTCGCAGTGTGAGGGCTCAGCTTTCTCTTTAGATTCTAAAGTACGCTGCTTCTCGAAGCACATGGCCACCCCCCTCGGTCTTTCTTCCCCCACCCACAGACACTGAGCTTTCCAAACATCTGGGCCTTCCAACCCCCACCAGGGGCCTGAGCCTGCCCCAAAGATTTCCAAGACAGAAGTGGCTGCGAGGCCCACTCACCACAG